ACTACTACTACTATTTACACCATAGACTTCTATGCATACTTTTTCCCGCGAGTTTTAATAGAATTTGTTGCCAATAAACATCAGTGGCGTAATAATAAACACAATGACGTAGCGAACGTAACTGCACCCGGGCCGTGACACTATATTGGCGCCCCTCCCCCTCCGGAAACAAATTTTGTTATTCTTGGAAACCATTAGGCTCCCCTCTGCCAGTGGCGCCCGGGGCAAGCTGCCCCACCCTCTGCTGAGAGGTTTTCTTCGTTTTTGGGCGATAGGAAATTCGGAAGTTCCTCGAGGACAGGCAGTCTCAAAGGATTAACCCATGGTGTATAGCAGCCTTTACGTTAACGCATCATATGGGCGATCTGCCTAAGAGGATGTCTTCCGGGGGTCTTTTTAAGGATAACTGACCTCTATTCAGGCGTTATTGCCCACCAGTGGCCAAGCAGTCTTTGTCCATAAACACTGGAAGTGCGGTCGGATGGCCGAGCGGTCAAGGTGGCAGCCTACCGCTTTGGGGGACCCGAGATCGAATCCGAACGGGTCGAAAATACCCCAGGAATTTTTCGGGTGGTGGTCTGTTCGGATATGTCCCACACTACCCGGCAGCCCCATTGTGGACCTGGCCGAACCCATAATGGGCTTGCAAAAAGAGGCCCTCTTAGTGCCCACAGGGCGGAAAGAGTTAAATTCGGCTTAATTATTTAAAATAAAATAATCCAACTATAAAATATTAATTAAAAATATTTAAAATTATAAATAAGATTAGTAATAATAATTTGTTTCTTAAAATATTAAAATTACACTAATCAATAATTTCATATTTTAAAAATAATTTTATAATTAAAAAATTATTTGTAATAAAATTATTTTAAATTTAAAGTATAAAATATGAAATAAATAATTAATTGAAGAGAAATCAGTATTTTTTTTTTTTTTTGAAAATATCGTAATTTGAGAAATATCGTCTTTAGCGCTATCTGGTTTCTAAATCTTGAACTAACTGGTATGTTTCTGGATATTGCGGAGAGAAGCTCTTCTCCAGTTTATCAAAAATTAAAAAAACACTTCGTGGGAAGATGAAGTAACGTTTATACAAAAAATATTCGAAAGTTTGGTTATTTATAGAATAGCTTATTTAGTTTGTTTATGTTTGAATAATGATATAGGACAAAACTTATAAATTTCGTCATTACTTTGATTTGTTTTCGTTATGAAATCCGTAGTTTATGATTTTGTACACATATATGACTGTTGATATAAGAATATGAAAGTGTTGTTAATGTAAAATTGAGAAGAGGAACGCCATGTTGGGATTTAGATTCAGTTACTTATACAAGCTCCATTCTGAAAGTTTTATGGGATTGAACGTGGTGTGTTTGCCCGGTACCAATCCGCCGGGTGCCGTGTATCGCTCCAGCCTGCCGGCGACTCCCGTATCCACTCCCATCAGAGAGAACGGGAGATTCTCCGAGGCGGCTCTGAGGGAAAGACTGTGCAGAACTCCTTCGCCGAGGAAGTGTCGGTTGTTCGAGTCCAGGGTGTCCGAACCCGACCTGGGATTTAACGCTTTGGATACGGCGTGGCCGCTGTCGCCGGACGACGACGACGACAAAAGTGATAACAGCGATTCTACGGCCACGATTACGCAGAATAAGGAACGGTATTTCGTCGAGGAGGATGTAAAGAAACCTCTGAGTCGGAGAGTGTTTGTTGGAAATATCAGTTATAGGGTATGCGTCCTTAATATTATCTTTATTATGAATCTAGTAAGTTGAAATCAGTTGAAAAAATTTAAAAAGTATTATTATATATTTTATTATAAATATTTATAATAAAATATATAATAAATAAATAATTATGGCTGTATTCAGCATTGAACTGATACTGAGCTACTAAGTAAACATTGTCAGAGTTTTTGTGAATTAAATAAAACAAATTATCTAATTGGCCATGCTTACTTAATAGCAAGTGCTTTATGCAATTGTTTACTATTTTCATAATGTATATTAAGCATGAGAGTGTGTGTCCTAAAAATTGTGCAAATTTCAAAATTGTTTAAAATATAGCATGTTTTATGTATACGGATAGGTTGTTTAACGTTCGGATGAGATGTTCGATACTGAAAATCGACTGCAATTTGAACTCTGGTCTTAACTCTAGTCTCAAATTTCCAGAAGTAACCAGTTTTATAGTGGTGAAGCTTGGCCTTAATCCTGTCCTCTAACTCCTTTGCAGATCCAGCTTCTCAATCATTTTTCTAAACTTTTTGCTTCAGTTGGTACCAAAATCTCTCAATTGGTCTTAGTTGCAGAATGTTTGGAAGATTGGCTTTATGGGAGATATATTGAATTCCATAATGGTCCAAGTTGGCAACTGGCATGAGCATAATTGACAATGGCCATGTCTGGGCAACAAAGGTCCATGAGTGTCCTTTTGGACCAATTACAGAAGCTTCAACAAAAACTTGGGAGTGTTGTTTGAAGGCTCCAGATCTAGCCTTTCTTTAGTGAATTAGTGTTTGTTACCAGTACATTCACTTTTGTCAGTTTTCAGTATAAAATCAAATCAGAAGTTATAAATGAATTTGACCAAATTCATTTAATGCTTTCGTTTTTAAGATGGAGTGTTATTTATATAAACTTTTTTAATAAATGAAATCAAGATCATTCTAGAAAGAATGTATGCTGTCACTTATGCATGTTCAACTTTTTGAAATTACTAAAAAATGCTATTAAAATTTGTATGGATTTTTAGGATACATAATTGGAAATTTTTATTATATGTAAAGATGAGGCAAAAAGTTCTTTAATGATGGGATTCTGTTCTTATGAAAGATAACATAATTAAAATATTCAAATTTTGAATGATAAGTTATAATATATAAAAATTAAAAAATTTTTTTAAGAGAACTTCTTACAGAATAACTGGAATGTATACTTCACACTAGAGAACCTTAACAGTCCAGTAATAACACTTTAATGGAAAACTAATGTTTTCGATCGTATCCCGGTCTTCCTCAGGTTTTTAAAACAAATAAGATTTTTTATTTCCAATAAAGACTGGTAAAAGAATTGCTGGTTTTGGAATGTAAGATTTTTTATTGGAAATAAAGAATCTTATATTCCAAAACCAGTAATTTTTTTTATTTCCAATAACATATTTGCTCTGATATTATATTTAATTTCAATGTTTTATTGCAGTGGTAGTATTAAGATTTAGCACAATACTTTAACAGAGAACAGTTAGCAAAATGTCACTAAATGTACTTAGGTAACTATAACATTAATTTTTAGTTTTCATGCATACTTTTTGTTACATGATTGAATAGAAGTTACTACAAGAGTATCGCAGAATAGAAGTTTGTTAAAATGGTAAAAAATAATGTATAAGTATGTCAACTGTATTTGGGTTAAGTGATTAATTATAAGATTCATAAAAATATAATTATTTGAATACTAAGAACAGTATTTTTCAACATTTTCATAATAGTGACATCCCCAATTTGGCAATTATTTTCTTCAACACCCTATTTCTTTATCAATACAATTATTGCACTTTTCATGTTTACAGTAATACATAAAATGTGTTATGTTACTGCTCAGCACTATTTTCTAGCACCCTGGTTGGAAACCACTGATTTACAACATTGAATTCATTGCAGAGTAGTTATGAAAAATATACTTTATTGGAGTAATCATTAGCACCTTTCACATTCCAAGCATTTTCATAATGCCCAAATCTGCTTTGATATTTCTGAATTTTTTTAGATTAGATTAACAATTAGTATTGATTAGCCATTTTTGAATTATAACTTCACAATATGATATTTAGCTTTAAAGGTCATACAAATCATTACTTGAAAACCGTCAGTTGAAGAAAGAGGGAATGTTTGCAGAATAAAAAGTGCATTTGAAAAATGTTTTTATAGTCGATAGAATTTTTGTACTTGAATGTTATTTGATAAATTTTGGAAACTTTTTAAAATTTTGTAATTTATGTAATAAATTAAATGCTGCTAAGTAATCTGTAAATATTATTTAACTTTCAGTATTTATTACCTACGAAAGCTTACTCATCATTAATCATGCTGTAATAATTTTGTGAAAATTGAAAAATTCAAGTGCTATTTATTTATAAAATTATTGTAAATTTTATCCCAAAATAAATCTTTTAATATATATATTTTTTCTATTTATCTTAATAACTCTTGATTATTTTTGATTACACAGTAAAGTTCAGATCTGAATTGGATTCTCTTGATTCTTTGTAGAAAATTCAAGAAGAGATTTTGCTCTTATACATTCTTTATTTTCATTCTGTTGGCCTTATTGTAAGTTAGACTCACTATTATAAGAAAAATTACCTGATGGCCTACTTTTTGGGTTGCAATTTGAAAAAATTGAAGACCTATAAATTTTCACTGTTGCCTGTCTGTCCTTCCTTAATCTCAATCTCCAAAAAATGATGATAGATAGATGAAATCTGAGATTAGATATGGAAACCTTAGGGGCAGTAGGCCCCGATTAACTGTATATGAACCTGATGCAAATCTGATGTCATGTTATTTCAATTCAAATATTAAAGGAAAAGTATGATTTACAAGGGCAAGCCACTACTAATTTGAGGTGGAGAGCATATATATATAAACAAACAACATCTTTAAATCTGATATACTATAAACCTAGATACCAACCAATGCTGAATTCTATCAGGCTAGACATGGCTACATTACTAAATAAATTATGCAACTAATTTGGCACTAGAGGGAGGCATTGGCCACCATCTCTTAATAACTTTAATAATTATAATTTTTAATTAATTGGTTGCATAATTTATTTAGTAAAATAGCCATGTCTAGACCAATAGAATTCGGCATTGTTTGGTATCTATGAGAGCATATATTTTAAATTAAATAAATTAAAAATATGATTACAAATTGTAGCCTGGCATTGTGACTATGTCACAATAAATAATTGCTCATTTCAACTCAAAAATTTTCTTGGAATGGAGTTACATAAATGATCAGCATAATTCTGTTGCTATCTGGAAAATTAACACATACAGAGACAAGACACTAATAATTTGAGATTTAGATCATATATTTTAAATTAAATAAATTAAAAAATGCAGCCTGGCATTATGATGAAGTCACAATCATTTCTGCTCATTGTGCCTTAAGCTTAGTTCACACTGAGTGCTATTAGCTAGTGAAAGCAAAAAACAGAGCGAATAACTGGTCAAACATGACTTGTTTGATGGGTTATTCGCTCTGTTTTTTCCTTTTGCTAGCAAATTGCGCTCACTGTGAACTAAGTTTTATCTCTTGCCAGAAAATTATCCATTTGACAATGGTAATGAGGCATACTTTTGAGTGGGGGTTTGTATGGGCTCTCCTTTCTAAGATATGAGTAGGCATTTTAGCCCTATTGATTACTGGTCTCAGCTGTTGACTCCTTTTGTGTGTATTAGCAAAGCCAAAGAGCATAGGGATATCAGATCTATCAATGCCTGTCAATTACTTTAGTGAGCTTTAATCAGGAAAAATTTAGTAATTCTAGGATAATGTAAGAAGTAGGCTACTTCTTACATTATCCTAAAAGACCTGCTGAATCTTCTTATCACTATGGCATTTCATTCAGAGGACCATTTTTCATTGGAAAAACTTTTTGTTTGTCTGTTAAACCTTGTAAGATATTGTCTAGATTTGGCCTAATGCATTTGTTATTGCTGTTTATGGAATTTGAAGCATATGCTGGTTTTCCCTTTATATGTCAAAGACTCTACTTTTTTCAAAGTATCATGTTAAACTTTCTCAATTTGGCATCTCAAAATATTATTTTATCATTCCAGAAGTCTTGACTTGTCAGATATTTCAATTTAGATTAAAGATTTAAGTTATCATTAAAAAACTACATACATATGCTATCAAGAATGTTTTAGACACTTAAAATATTCTCTGTCAGTCATTAGAATAATAATAATAATCAGTCATAAAAATAGTATTCAATGCTTGATATTTAATTAGCCAGAGATGTAAAGCCAAATTTTGTATAGGACTTAACTGTACAGTTAGTATAGTTAGTAGAATCTGTACAGTGATTACAATTAATTAATAAGAATACAATAATTTAGTATGTAGTATGTTAGTAAGTCAACAATGTAAAATTATTTCTATTCTAATTCATATAAGTTTGATTATCAGTTTCCAAATCTATTTATATGGGAGAAGAAATTCAATATATATATATATATATATATATACACACATATTTCTTATTTACATTTTAAACTTCTTTGATTTTTAGCAGAAAAAAATTAGGTGGGCTATGGGCTACTCAGCTCTCATTTCCAAAGCTCCTGAGAATGGATGAACTGCAAACATCTGGCTATAGATATAAAATCATATCCATGTGTGAAGGGAAAATAAAGAGTGTAACAATTTAACATCATTGCTCAAGTCACTAAATCTGAGCTCAAAGGTTATGCAGAGATTCATTATTGAAAAATCTACTTCAAACTCCCTAAGCTACTGATGGTAAAAGCAGATATGGTTATTATATGCCCTCAACAATTGTGAGGAATATGTAAAGAATCAATCAGAACTATGATCCAAATTTAGTGTATATATTTGACCATGAATATTAAATACATAAAATAACTAGATAAATCTTATACTATTACACATTATCAAATTACATTCAATCAGATACAACACTAAGATGCAAATACATTTTTTTTATACTGATCTGCTATTGCCTAAAATGACGAACACAGATATGTATAAAAATACAGACAAATCATAATCCTGCTTAGCATAGGAGAATAGAAACACAACTAAATGATAGATAACAAATAAACAGGAAAATTACATAAACACACACAATATATATGAGGCTGTCCATAAATGATATCAAGCCTCATGGGGAAGATGGCAATTCAGAATGTAACACAATGTTACAAGAGGAAATGAAGGAGAATAATCCTTGCGATGTCATATTTCACATTTATCATTAATTAGTATCAGATGCTTTTTAACACAATATGTCACATTTAAAACATACTCTTTAAAATTTTAGTTTTTGTACTTAAATTTATATAAGAATACCATAAGATAGCAAAATTTAAGTTTGTATTGTTATATTGTTTGTACAGTTAATTTACTATGGCTGGTAACAATTAATCTGTTATGGTTGCGGTAAAATGATTCTGTACAGTGGAATTTACATCATCACATTCACACTATTTGTATGTTACAAATAACCCATCAGTTCATCACTTACAAGTCTGAAATCAAAAGAATGATAAGATAAGTAGCATTATGAGGTCCTGGAAATGTCCTGGAACCACACTAAAATCTAAAAATCACAAAATTTGTTAATATTATAAAATATAAATTTTTATGTCCATAAAAGGAAATATTAAATTTAATAGAGAGGGGAAAAAACATTTCCTCAGAAATTAGACAAACGAAAACTAGACAATGTAATCCTAAGATCAACTATCTGCGGTTGGAATCGAATTAAATGTCAATTTTTGACGGGCATATTTTAAATATTGTGCAACNTTTGCTTTGGATAACTGAAAAACAGTGTGCCGGCGACAGCGTATCGGAAGAAATTATTTGCGAGAAAGTTAAAAGGATACATGCTGATCTCATGAAAAATCAAGCAGAAACTAGCGAGGAAAGCGAGGTGTTTAAAGCCAGCTCTTTTTTTTACATGAGAACGGATTAATCATTTTTACATTACTTCTTATGGAAAAGGTTGGTTTGGTATACGTCCTATTCGGTATAAGTCCAAACACCAGGAACGGATTAAGGTCGTATACTGAGGTTCCACTGTGTATATATATATATATATATATATTCATTGAAATGTTACATTGATATTTTGTATATACAGAGTGTTCAGAAAATCACTGTGCTTCTTTCTAATCATATTTTTGCATTATTTTGAAAGACGTATAGCCCACGCTCACCAAATCTAAATCCACCAGACTTTTATCTATGGGGAGCAGCAAAATCTGCAGTGTATTGAGATCATTTATACATGCTAGAAGACTTGTAAGCAGCAATAACAACATTCACTTATCTTTCAAGCAAGCAACTGCTAGCGGTGTTTAGAAACAAAATAAGAATGAACCAAGCCTGTATTGATGCTAACAGAGGTCACTTTCAACATTGTTTATAATTGTCATTCATACCTCCTGTATTCTATATTGAAATGTGTGTTAATAAATATATAAGTGCACAGTGACTTCCGAACATCCTGTATGAAGTGGGTCTATGTTATTAGATGAAACTATTAATCTATCATAAACAATTTATTAATGTGTGTTTTTCTCATTGACATTATAGGTAACTCGAAAACAATTAAAAGAATATTTTTCTCAGTTTGGAAAAGTGACAGACTGTGTCATTGTACAAGATCATATACGTAGGAGACCCAGAGGGTAACCTTTAATATTGATTATTATTCTATGTTAGATTCGGAAATTCGACGCTCTACTGTATATCTATTTAATGTGACATTTTCTCTTTTCCTTTTACTTGTTTCTAATCACTTAAACAATTACCCTATGTAAAGCTAAGAT